TATTAAAGAATTTTTTTACCTCTTTTTCACAATCATCCCAGCTTTCTCCTGGAGACTCTTTTAGTCCATCTATTCTTAGATTATTTCTTCTGGAACGATTTTCCAAGTCTATTGACTTTTTATATAATGTATTTATTTGATTGTCATAATATTTTTTTAAGTGTGAAATGTTTTCTAAAGTTTTATTCTCTTGAAAACTGAGGCTGTCCTTTATTTCGTTCAGGTCTTTTTCGATATTCTTTATTTTCGATTTGTTGTTGTTGTTGTCTTTCTCTATTGTGTCTAGTCTATCAGTTATAATTTTGAGGTTTGCACTCATTATTAAAGTAAATGATTTTTCTTGCTCTTTAAGTAGTCGTTCAGTTTCTTTAAGAATACTTTTTTTGTGTTCCTCGAGTTGTTTTGTGATAATTTTTTCGATGCTTTTCATTGTAATATCCATTTTTATTTAAATTTTATCGCTAATAAAAAACACGTCTTGTTTCCGCAAAATCTCGATTTATCCTGTGGTAACATCTCAGGACCCTTAACATCTCAGGACCCTTAAAAAACCATGTTTTAATTACTCTATAGAATTGTTATGTATACTAAATATTTTAAAATTAGAGTTATTGCACCGCCGATTATTTAGACTGAAACTTTCACACACAAAAAATAGAACTTTGTGCATCGCAAATAACGCAAAAAACATCCGGCGGATATATAATAACTTACATACATTTAAAACCCTAGATTTACTGTTTTTACTTGAAAAGAGCTAAATGTTTTGTATATGGTATGCTTAACACCTTTCTTATGATCAGGGGTGTGGAGTAGTAAAAAAAAAGTAACAACTCCGACTCCAACTCCAAAGCAAAATTTTTGAAACATTCTTTGAATTCTTTAAAAAATATTACGCGATAAGTTAAATATTATTTTTTTGACAAATTTATGAAACGCTCTTGGAGGTTTAGTATGAACATAAGATTAATTGAATGTTTTGTACATGCACGTGCAATACCGAGAAGTTTTATTAATGGAGTCGGAGTCGCGATTTTGCTTAGCGACTCCGACTCCGCTAAAAATGTTGCAACTCCGCAACTCTGACTCCACAGCCCTGCTTATGATTATTCTTCTAATTATGACTCAAAATAATTGTTTGTTATATCACGATCTTGGTCCATTATTAAGTGAGTCAAAAACGCAATATAATTTAATTCATGTACGTGAGTCAAAAACGCAATATAATTTAAATCCAGGGGCGCACTGAGACTTCATGATAATAAGAAAAATAAAGCTATTAATAATAGCTTTACTTTTCTTATTATCTTATTTTTCTAGCGTTCACAAAATAATTTAAAAACTCTGTATTTAAGACAGTTCACAAATCAAACAATTATACAAAACAAAGGAAAAAAACATTTCTGGATTTGGTATAAAGTTTTTCGGATGTTTTACCAAGACTTTACGAGCTTTTTCATCATTTGATGATGCCCCATAAACGTGATACTCGGGGGAATTCAACCCGTATCCCCCACCCTCTGTCCGCCCCTGTTTAAATCATACTATATGTAACTGGATATATATATATATATATATATATATATATATATATATATATATATATATATATATATATATATATATATATATATATATATATATATATATATATATATATATATATATGTATATATATATATATATAAATTTTAACAACGGTTGAATTAAAAAAAGAACATAAGAAAAATTAATATCCCTGAAGTAATAAAAACCTTTCCTATAATTATGAAAGGTTATATATTCTAAACTTTGCAATCATATAATGATTCTTTTAAATTGTTAATGAATATAAATTTGCTACGCAGGAAAGAACTATATTTTTGTTATTAGGACCAAACCATGAAAAACTGACTTAGTGTTTGCGTCATAGCTAAAAGTCATATAAAAGGCTAATGAAACTGTATGAAAAATTAATGCATTGGAGTATACACTTAAAAAATTAAAAATTATTGAATGAGAGATTACTATAATAACAATTAGAAATAACTATAATAACTATTATAATAAAAAATAAAAAAAAGTAATAAAAAAAAAATTAGAATAGAATAGAATTAACTGCAACTAGTATAGCATTAAGGTTGCAACCACGTAACAGTGAAAACAACAAAAAAATAAACAAAAACAGTAAAACAAAAATTAATAACATATTACAGGCTTTTAATTTTATTTTTTAAGACATATAAGGTGATTATTTATTACATTACATTATTACATCATTATACTAATGTATAATGAACCTTATGATTAAAATAACTAAATATAAATTTATATATATATATATATATATATATATATATATATATATATATATATATATATATATATATATATATATATAAATTTTAATTATACTAAAACTTTCTAATTTTTTAAAATTTTGTAATTTTCAAGCATTTAACTTGTTTTCATTTCACTAAAACTTTTTTCTTAAATATATTAACAAGAAAGATATATGATATTAACAGAAAAATAAATACAGATTCATCTATATTTCCATGTATAAAAAACAAAATATAAACTTTACCATTTATCATACATGGAAACTCTCAAAAACACAATAAAATTTTAAAAAGGTTTAAAAAGCAAAAAAAATAAAAATTTAAATTTACCAAATACCAAATATTTTGTTATAATTGGTTCATGAGGATCAGCTAATAATAACAAAAAAATATTTATGTTGGTTCATGTGGATAAGCTATGATAACATAAAACGTTTTCATTCATGTAAAGTGATAAAATAATGTTGTCAAATTGAAAATAATCTTTATTATATTATAAACTTTTTATATATTTTTATATAATAAATGGAATAGTTTTATTCATCTAAAGTAAAAACTTCTGCAAATTTTTGTAACTAATTTAAACTTAAAACAACAAAAAAAAAACACGTAATTACAAGTGCTTTAAACTTTATCTAATGCAGCATACATCACCATAACATTATTATAATAAGTATATGTAATATTAACAAAAAATGTCGTGACGTAGTAGCTGTGACAAACACAATTTTTCAGTTTAGCATCACATTCCTGTTATCCGCAGAGCTTTATTTCTGTGAAGCCCAAAATTTAGTAAAAACTAGTTTAATGAACCAACTGAAGTCCGAATTTTAAAAAGGAAAATTCTATATACTTGAATAACAAATATCTGAGTCTGGTATATACAGGCAACAATAACATATTATAAGTATGTTATGATATAATCTTAAGATTTCTTTTTTAATGTATGAATATACAAGACAACAACTTTTTGGTTTAATAAGAAAAATTGATTGACTTTGGTTTGAAAACAACAAGAAGCTTTTTGAAAAAGGTCACCCAGCATGACTTTTGATGACACCCTCAGTCTTATATATCAGTAAGAAAAAATTTTCTTCAAAATAATTTTATTAATTTTAGTTTAATTATCAAGTTTAACTAACTAGTTTAATTATCAAGAAATTTAGTGATTAGAAATTTCAGAAAAAAAAATTATTTTAAATAAAGATAAATTTGAATTTTATATATTAATATTAAAAAAAACAAAAACATTATTTTTACAAAAATTGATGAGACATTTTATACCAATATTTTTTTTCAAAAGGTTTTTTGTTGAAAGGTTGTAAATTTTGAAATATCTTAAACATTATTTCAAAACCCAGAATGATATATATTTCGAAAATTTTTTAACTTGTATGAGTGACTGAGTGTGTTATATATATATATATATATATATATATATATATATATATATATATATATATATATATATATATATATATATATATATATATATATATATATATATATATATATATATATATATATATATATATACATATATACATATATATATATATATATATATATATATATATATATATATATATATATATATATATATATATATATATATATATATATATATATATATGAGTGTGTTATATATATATATATATATATATATATATATATATATATATATATATATATATATATATATATATATATATATATATAATTAATAAAAAATTAATCTTTTTTTTAATTCTGTAACCTAATTTCATCACAGTTATTATGCTTATGCTTCACATTATAACACCTGTATATACTAAAATTTCAAGTAAAGAATTAAAATTTTAACTGTGTAGAATTATTACTATTATCATAAAAGATATATCCATATACATGAAATAAGTTTAATATAAAAGATATTAAATATAATATAAATATACAAAACTGCTGAACTTTGAAAATTCTAATATATAAATAGAAAAAAGAATGTTTAAATAAACCCAATAAATTTAAAACCAAGTAAATTACTAAAAAAGTTATCGAATTAATTTTTTATTTTTCTAAAGCTTGTGTTTGAAGTTATTTTTAAAATATAAAATACTTTTTGAATGGATAAAATATGACCATGTTGTTTTTAATTGTCTTGTTATTTACAGGTATATCGTTGTAAAAGTTTATATATATATATATATATATATATATATATATATATATATATATATATAATATATATATATATATATATATATATATATATATATATATATATATATATATATATATATATATATATATATATATAAGTATATATATATATATATATATATATATATATATATATATATATATATATATATATATATATATATAGTATATATATATATATATATATATATATATATATATATATATATATATATATATATATATATTATATATATATATATATATATACTTATATATATACTTATATATATATATATACTTATATATATACTTATATATATATATATAAGTATATATATATATATATATATATATATATATATATATATATATATATATATATATATATATATATATATATATCATAAAATAAACATTTAAACTAAACTAACTTTTTATCCCATGCCAGAGTTAAAGATATTAAATATACTATTCAATTAATAAATAACTAAAATCACATTTAACAAAAGATCATATTGGTGTCGTAGATAATTAACTGGAAGCTATAAATCAAACTATATGCAAAAGACTTAACGACATAAGTTATTCTAATAATGGGGAACGATCGTTAGCTTTTGATGCTACATCTGAATTATACAATCCATATTTAGATCGTATTCGGTTTCTTTCTTTTTCACGTTCGTTATCTTTCGTTTCATGGTAAATTCTTCTTTGCTCTTTTTCTTTTTGACGCTTTGTTTCTTTAAGTTTGAACTTTTCATCAATAGATTTTTGGCTTTTTTTGCAGCAACACCAACAACAGCAAATTAAAGAAACCAACAAAAACACAGCTACACAGGGAAGAACAATTATTAACCAAAAACCAGCTATTGAGCATTGTTTTACATACCACTGTGCTTTGCTGCATCCCTTTGGAACTAGGGAATAGTATTCACAGGTTCCGGAAGATTCGCACCAAAAGCATGATTTTTGGTCAACGCAACCAATGCAAGAACTGTTTTTGAATTTAGAACAATTAATTTGCTCCTCCGATTCTGCGAGACAAGTACGAGTTAAAATTGACAGCAATAAAATACAAACACACAAACATAATTTTAAGTTCATTTTAAATTGAAATAGTTTTTGTATTTTAGTCGGCTAACCTTAACTTTTCTTAAACTCGGCTAACCCGAAGAAAAAACAAGAAAACAAAACAGTCAGCAATGTAGCGTTTTGCAACAGTTAAACCTTCGTTGCCAATGGTTTTTTTTTATTCGTTACTAAACAAACAAAAAGGCGGTCAAGTCAAAAGTTTTTTAACCCTACTGACGTTTTTATAAAGTTGTTTTAGAGTTTTTTTTTATAAAGTTATTATTTATACATGATTGGATATTTTTATACAAATTAAATATATACTTTATTTTAAAATAAAATCTAATTAAATTTTGATAGTAATTATAAATCAATTTAATTTTCATAGGTTTTGCGCAAACACTATTGTGCATTTAATACCTGCTTCTGCTTCTACCTAAGTAATAAATATTACTTTGGTAGGGAGAATAACTTTAGTTTGAAGCTTTCGTTTAAAATTTTCTTTTTGAAAGAAACTCGCTTTAATTTGTTCTACTTTTGCGACGTTTCCTTCATAATTAGATAATTAGTAACTTATATAGTAATTAATTGTTTTTACAAAAAAAAAAAAAAAGGAAGATTAAAAATATTATCATAGATAATATTGAAGCATTGTTGTTTATATGCTATTAGAAAAAAATTTGCAGTATAATGAAAAAATAAACACCAAACAACTAACTATTAAGTTGAAAATAAAAAAATAAAAAAACACGAAGTTTTTTTTTTGTTTTTTTTTTATAACTTTTTTTTTGATAATTAGACTTAGTTTAAACAATAAATAATAAAACTACATTCACAATTTTTTTTTTTTTTTTTTTTTTTTTGTCTTTAAAAACTTTTTGTCTTTTAAATTTTTTTTAAATTACTTTTCGTTTTTTAACTTTTTTTATTTTATTATATATATATATATATATATATAATATATATATATATATATATATATATATATATAATAAATATATAATAATAATAATAATAATTATTATTATTATTGTTATTATTATTGTTATTATTATTATTATTATTATAATTATTATTATTATTATTATTGTTATTATTATTATTATTATTATTATTATTATTATTATTATTATTATTATTATTATTATTATTATTATTATTATTATTATTATTATATTAATAGCAGCGTCAAAAAATTTTATTTTAACAAAATACTTTTTGATTTCTTAGCGTAAAATTTAATTATTTATTTCATGATTCTTTTCTTCGAGCTTTTTCAATTTCAAATTATCAATTCTTTTTTTTTTTTAATTTTTACAAAACTCTTTAAACTTATTGCAAAACCAAGAACAGGATAGAAATAAGAAAGAAAACAGTAATACATAGAAACAAAAGAGATTAAAAAGTAAATTATAATAGAAATCAAATTTGATTATTAAAAATTATTATAAATAAAGTTGTCAATTATTAAGATATTTCCGTATCAAACAACTTAAATGCAAACATATATGTATAAAGCTTCATTACATTGTTTATAAGCCAATCCCATGCGGAGTGGCTAATGAATGGCGTCGAGGTTTTTATTTATATGAAAATTTTTATATTTTTTAATTTTTTCTTGTTAAACGTATTTACATCAAATGTTCAAAATTAGGCTTTTTGCGATTTATGACTAAATTTGGTATCAAAAAAAAGAAACTGTGCTTTTCAATTTAAGAAATATATAGTACTTACCTTTTCAGTAGCGTTGCGAAAAAAAAAATGCCTACCCGCAAAATTTTAAACCGGGCCCGTAAATTACTTCTCTGCTCCCCATTCCCTTCCCTTTTCTTAACAAAAATTATACATGAAAACCAAAACCTTATTTTTAAAAACAATTTTGATGTAATTTAATAGAAACCAGTATGTTACACTAACCAAGTCTAGTAAGTAGAAAATTTAATAAAAGTTTTATTCTTGTCTTTATAGCTGCAAACTGGTCTATAACACCTTTTAAATTTAGTTGAGCTGTTATTTCTGCTTTAGTAGCTATTAAGTTTAGTGCAGACAAATTATTTGCGCCATTGTTGACTAAATGTTTTGATTGGGGCAAGTTATCGCTGCCCCAATCAAAGCATTTAGTCAATGATGGTAACTTCAATCTTCTTAATCTTTCACAATATTAAAAATATCCTAAGCTGGAAGTCCATGTTACATTGTGTTGAGTAGATTCAACCAAAGATTTATCAATTTTTAAATAAGAAGCCATAACAGACACTGTATATTTATGGTGTGGTCTTATAAGGACTTTATATAATTTGAGAGCCATATTTTCATCAATGAAACTGAATTTCTTTTTGCATACCAAGAGTTTGTAAGGACTTTGAAACAACTGTTCAAAAATGTGTGCTCCACTAGGCGTTGCATGAAATAATGACTCTTAATTGACTAAGTTTCTCATTTTAGTAGAGTATTTAAGGGATTGATTTATTATACTATTTTATTTTGTTTCACATTTATTCCAAAATATCGTAATTTTAACATAAGTCTGTTTTAAGGAAGAGAATTAACGCTTTGGTGAAATTGAGAATACGCCAATAAATTTGTGAAATACTATAGAAGATAAAATAATATCTAAAGTTTAGATTAGTCACGCATAATTTATGGTGAATAAAGCCATGTTGATTTGCAGAGGGCATTTTATTATCATTAATGTACTTAAAGATTTTGTTCTTAACAAGTATTTTGACTATTTTGCAGGCAACAGAGAATAGTAAAATAGGTCAATATTTTCAGCAAGTAATTTATCTTCCGTTTTTTTATAGACCGCATTAAAATTTGCCGACTCCTAGAGAGTGAGTAGTATTCCAGAATTAAAGAATTTATAAAAGATTTTTGTAAATGAAAAAATTTTGTATTACGATTTAAATTATAAAGTTAATAATGTTTGAAATAGAAAAACCCAAGTTATCATTATAAGTTCATTCAGCTTAGTATCAATTTTTTAACGATGGAAATTATTTAGAGGGATGTTAATATTATTTCTTTTTTATGTGCTCTTTTTGCTTTAAATATTTTAGCTTTCACTAAGTTAAGTTTATTATTTTTCCATTTAGTTGAGCTGTTGATATACCAAGCAAATTTTTTTGCTTGGACTAGGTTTTTAATATGTGGAGTAACCCAAGGATCATATTTTTTCTTTGTTTTATTAACCTCGAGGATAAAATATTCGCAAGCAGTACAATTGTTAGAAATTAATAAACTAAACAATTACTCCACGGTTTTATGCAGAAATAAGATATTCCAGTTGAATAATGCAATAAAGTTTAATATTGAATCGTAATCACTTTTGCTGAAACTAAACAACTGAGATTCACTTTCAGGAAACGGTTTTGAAGCTTAAAATTCCTCAAGTGATACTAAAGCGGCTCTTTACATTATTACCTAATATAGCATTAGGAAACAATTTTAAAAAAGAATTACTGCTGTAGCTAAATAACAAGTGCAACATATGGTTTGAGCAACCTAGGGTGTCTGGACGTAGGAAATATGATTTGTTAAAATTACCGACAATGAAACAGTCATCATTGGGCTTCCTAATTAAGCGATGAGCTAATTTGAAGGATTATGCAATATATTATATTAAATTAGCGTTATTTAGTCTATGTATAACCTAGAATAGAATGTGATTATTGTTAATTTTTACAGATACCAAAATTTGTTTGAGATAAGTTTAACAGAACTAATTAACGAGAGATAAATACATCAGTAATAAAGACAGCTACACTGCCACCTTGACGTCCATCTCAGCAATCTTTTTTTTTTTTAGTGAGTTATTGTTTTAATACAATAGCTTCACTATTAAAATTTGCTTTAAACCTTACGACATCCTACTTACCACTTAGCTAAATTGTATATTTATAAGTTAATATAGTTTGTTTTAATTTTTTAGATAAAATAAATAAAAAGCTCACTATTTGAAGTATTATTCGAGATTATTATTAAAGCTAAACAAATAGTCTGAAAAAGAGTTTGTAGTTCTTAGCTATATAATAATAGCAATAGTTGCTAGTAATGCTATGTTTATATACATGCATATTATTTTTAAAAATCACGACTTTTAAAAGAAAGACTTGAAAAATCTGGCTTGAACCCCTGGTTACTCTGGGCAATTAGTGAAAAGAGACAGTAGCAGCTGCGGGCCCTTCGCTACGCTACTATATTTTTTCATTAATTGCGATAGATAAATTAACACTGAGTTTATTGTAAAGTGATTTTTTGTTGAACTGTGAGATCATTTTCAGTCACGCAACAAACTTTATTGTTTTCACTTTATTTGGGAATCAAATTATGCTTCTGAAAAACAAATATTGTTATTGAATAATTAAAAAAAATAAACAAATATATTAATCATGATCTATCTAATCTAATTCAATGGCTTCGATCTAACAAACTGTCTCTGAATACTAGTAAAACTGAAATTATCATCTTCAAATCAAAACAATCTAAAATCAGTAAACACCTAAATTTCAGGCTAAGTGGTAAAAAAATCAATACAGTAATGTACCTAAAGTATCTCTTGGAATCAAAATTGACTCAACTTTAACTTTTTTGCATCATCTTAAGGACTTGTCAATAAAACTATGTAGATCAAATGGGATAAAATTCGAATTTTATCCCATTATCCGAATTTTATCCCATTATCCGAATTTTATCCCATCCCATATCCCGAATTTTAGCGTAATGATGAATTCGTCATTACGCTAAAATTCGTCATTATGTCAATCTTGAAACTCTTACCATTATATACCATGCCATTTTTGGATCACATTATAGGTATGGGTGTCAAGTTTGGGGACAAATCCGCACCCAAGAAATTTTAAAATTATCCAACTTACAAAACAAAGCATTAAAAATAATACATTTTCAGCATTACCATTCTAACTCCAATCATCTTTATTTTTTATCAAAAATACTGAAAATTGATGATCTAGTTCAACTATTAAACTGTCAATTTTTCTTCTATCATAAACAAAAATGCCTACACAGCACATTTTTTACTGTTAGAGAAAGCTGTCGCTATCATCTATGATCTGCTAATAGCTATAATCTTCATGTACCAAACCATTCTTCTGTAAAATATGGTCTAAAATCCATAAAATACCAAAGTATAAAATCTGGAACAGTCTACCTTCACCATTAAAATCAATTTTAAAAATTTAATTAAAATCATCATTAAAATCAATTACTAATTTCAAAAACTATCTTTTTAACTATTTTTTAGCAAGATATTATACCTGAAGCCCCTGAAATATGTTTTTAAGCTGTTATTATTACTACTCTCTTAATACCTACTAATTTTTTTATTAACTTTTTGTTCTCATATTTTTATTGTTATTGTTAGTATTGATATTAATAATATTCTTCTATCTTAATTAAAAAATTGTTATTTTTATTTATAACTTAATAAGTATTATTATTGCTTTTTTTTAATTTTTTCTTAAATTTATTTACTACTTATACTATATAGTTGTTATTATCACTATTATTGCTATTATCTAATATTGATTGTCTAATATTTTTATTATTATTGTTAGTATTGTTACTAATAATATTCCTCTTCATCGTCATCTTATAATTATTGTTAATATTATTTCAATAATTATTATCATTTCTATTATTATTGTTATTATTATTATTGTTATTATGATCACTTTTATTGTAATGTTGCAGGTTTTTACTTTAGATTAGTACTTGTGCTATTTGTAAAAGTTCTTGAAACTTTACAACTTATTTCAGAATATATTGAATATTGAAATTGAAGCTTTGGAGATCAAAAATTCATTTCAAAACTTCACAGCAAGCTCATAATCAGAATAATGGAAAATCTGTCAATAGTTTCGTTGATCTTAAAAGTCTTAATTAAAAATAATGCAATTTATATAATAATACAATTAGTTTTAATAAGATAAGCTCAAAGTGCTATTTCTAATTCATTTCTATTATATTTTTTCTGACTTTAAAAAAAGTCAATCAGTGGAGAAAAAAATTTGGTTTAGATTTACTTTTTTGTTTTTCACATCTGACTTTAAACCTTTTTGCATACCATTGTTTTTAAACAAATTGTTATATTTTTGAAATGTTTTTAAACAATTTGTAACTTCTATGACATATATTATTCTCAATAATACTAGAAATAGGACTAAAATATCAAAACTTATGAAGCTATTAAAAACCTTAAAAACTGCAACAATCAGAAAAGAGGCAAGTTGAAAACCACGATACCAGGTAGAGAGGGTTGTCATCAATTGAAGGTCATCAACAGAGCCGACGACATCGGGGAAGCGGGGCCGGGGGCAGCCGTTTCCCAATTTATAAAGTTTAATTTAAAAATGGTTTTACAGTTTACCTAATTTAAAAGTATATATATATATATATATATATATATATATATATATATATATATATATATATATATATATATATATATATATATATATATATATATATCCTTCGGGTCAGAGCTACGTCACAAATATCGGAAAATAAGTCTAACATTAGGTTAGCGGTAAATAAGATGTACTGAGGGTAGGCTAAAAATTTGAAGCGTGCACCTCGTGGATTGGCTGCAGATATATGATTGGATTTTTTACTTATTCCTTAAGGAAGATATTTGTAAAATAAAAAATGTTAATGTAAAGAACTCATTTACTGACGATAATGAAAGCATATGATTTGTTTATTAGGTATCTATAAAATAAAAGATTTACTCAACCTTGAATTTTGCATTTCTTCTGTAAACAAATCTAAAAACTCGTACTTGTAAAAAGCATAATTATCGCAATAAAGAACTATTTGTCGTCAAATAGTTACTTTGACAACACGCTGTTTGCATGTTTCAGAGGTACGTAGAAAATACAACAATATGTCACCTCCTTAAGGACATGTCTTTATGGTCCCTATGAAATGTCCAAAAATCATGATTTATGGACGTGCTTTTCACGTTACTTTTGGTACCTGATGTTTAGGTGACTTTTTGGTTTTGATGAAATGAACAATTTTGTTTATTTCATAGTTCAATTTTGTTCATTTCAATTTTGTTCATTAACCAATAACAATCCACTTTTAACAAAAGTTATCCAACGATGTTGTTTCAAAATGTCATAAGCAATCGAAGCATTGCAAATAAAAGAAGGAAGTTTAAAAAACTCGTAAACAATATTAAATTTTTTTTTTTCAATGTTTTGCTTATATTTGACGTAATATACATAAATTACATATTTTTCAAATACAAACAAGGCTTTTAAAAGAAGATCACAATGATCTTATCGTCAGAACCTTTTACAAAAGAGAGTGGGTAAAATATTATAAAAACGCCTTTTTACAATATGAGTACGTAAAAAATCATATAAAAACAATAAATCGTATTTAGATAAATAAAAATAAATTGTAAACAAGTATAAAACAAAACTTGAATATACATGACAAAAATTTTTTTTTTTTTTTTTTTTATCACAAGATATATTAAAAATATACTAAGATATTTTCAATAGAAAGAATGAGGTCTTTTAATTTATTTTTAAAAACAAGATAAGTAAGTCGAAATTAGGCAAAATAATTTTTTTCCAGAGATGAGCTGCACGATAAGTAATACAATATTAATTGAATTTTGTTCGACAGAATGGTTCATTTAAATAATTATTTCTCATGTTAAACTTCCTTTTTCAAAATAATATGATCTTTAAAAATTAAAGGAGATAAATCATGCTTCCACATATAAACAAAAAATAAATTTTTATATGCGTTTAGTTTATATATATCGAGGATTTTCATTTGATTATAAAATATTGAGGAATGTGCAAACCGATCCGCAGAACTAATTAAACGGATCGCATGTTCCAGACGGCGATAGAGACATTGTAACTTATTTTGATTAGCGCTACCCCAGGCAACAACTCAATAACTTATATAATGGTGGATAAAAGAGTGATAAAGTTTAGTTAAATCATTTTTATCTAAATGAGTACGCGTCTTATATAAAATTCCGATACTTTTTGAAACTTTCGAGCAAACATAGTTAATATGATGTTTCAAGCAAACATAGTTAATATGATTAGTTATTATGATAATAAATTAGTTTATTATTACTTTTTTGTTGTGCTTTTTGAACAACTACAAATAAATTTCTAGATTAGAATTTGAATAAATAAATGTCTAGATAAGAATTGGTAGCATTTTTGCCAGTTATTTTATACCTCTATATTTAGAATAAAGCAATTTGCTTTTAAATGCAGCAAAAATACTACTTTAAATGCAACACAAAATAAAAGCCTGGAAAGGTTTAGTAAGTACCTGTCCAAAAGGACATTCTTAAAGAATGTAACAAACCTAGAGCTGAACAGGCAAGATTATCTAAAACTTTGGTATTTATACCTATAATTGAGGTGTGCAAGAAACAATTTCTTCGCCTTAATCATGATTTTTGTTGTAATTAACTTCTTAATTGATCAAATAGTTGTTAAAAAACTATCCGATAAACTTTTAAGAGATTATTCCACTTCGATTACAGCTTTTAAACTACATTTCAAAATTTTTTATTTTTTTGAAAAAGTGCCATTTTGACTTGCCACTGCAATAATTATACAACAAAGACTATATCGGGTTTGAAATCATTTTCGGCTTCGTTCTCCCTCCAGCTATTATATCTCTTTGATTTTATTTTCTACTTTTTAATTTACAAAAAAAATCACTTTGAGGAAGACTTTGAGGAACCCCAAGAATCATAGTTGAAACTTTTCTGTGAGTTAATTAACAGTGAGCAAATCCGCGTTTCGCGTTTTTTTGTAAAATCAAGACCCGATTTATTTAAACTATTTATACTTATTTTCTTATAATAATTTTCGATAGATTAGATTTATTATATTAAATACTTTTTTTAAATGTGTTATAGTAAAATTTGTTATAATTTATTTTCAACCCCCCATCAAAAGAGCGTTGTTACATTACAGCACCACACGAATAAATTGATGACACTGAAGTATACATTCAGATAGTAAACACATTTTTAGAAGATGCCATACTTTACACAGTGTGAACACCTTATAGAATAAAAAAATTTTATTAACTGTTAATAAAAATAAATGTAAACATAAATAAAAACAAATATATTAAATATACATATTTATCTTTCAATCTCATAATTTTTATGTATATGTACATATATGTATATGGTCTAAGTAGCACTAATTTAGTAACAATTTTCAAATAAATAACAACTTTTTTTTTTTTTTTTTATAACAATATTTAATACAATATTTACAAATATATCAATAAGAAAAATTACATGCAAAGAAACCGTTAAAAAATAAAGAATAAAGATAAAGAACGCGGATACTCAAAGAAGACCATACAGGTCTTGTCACCGAGAACCGCCAGGGTTCATACATGTACATACTATGTACATGTATGTATATGCTATGTATATGTATTTGTAAGCTATGCTATGTATATGTATGTGTATGCTATGCTATGTATATGTATGTTAGGATATATTTACATAAACTACATATATGTGTATGCTAGGAGAAACAAACTCCGACTTAAAATTCCTTCTTCATCTATTAGGCTTGCGTAGATGTAAATTTTTGTTACATTGTTTCCTGCCTAGGATGATGAATGTTGAATCTTCTTGACTTTTTTTATAGGTTTTTGCTTGTGTCTTTTTGATAGTGGCTATGCAACTCTTCCTGTTATCTCCTAATGAGGGTACTGCTCTAATACTCAGTTTAATGGTTCTGAAGCCGGCTGGTAGTAAGATTTCCCGAACTCTGTGGTAGCTCTGATTCCATCAACAGCTGCAACTAATATAACAGTATCAACAGGTTGTGCATGGATGGTGTCCCTGTTAATTCTTTTGTTCCGCATTGTCGAGGCCACATAAGGAGCCCTTGGTTACGGCTCTAGGTTAATTAACAGGACTGAGAAAATTGCATAGCTCATTGCTTGGGAGGCCGTGCTCTACCTATGATTGAGTCAAGTTCTCTTTAAACTTAAATATGCCAAAAGTAAATCGAAATATTAAACATAAAAAACCATCCCCATCACTTAACTGTATTAATATATCTTTTACTAAAAAGCGTGGTCTGCGAAGCAACCTTCCATCAGTTGAATCTTACGTCTACAAAATTTACCAGGCTTGCTTGCTTGCTCTTAGTGGGACTAATCTAAATTGTGCTACTCCTTCTTTTGATCTCAATGTTAATGGGTACTATCTTTTGATTCGCAATGACTCTAATAGTCACATGCTTGGCTTAGGGGCATACATATGCATCAATTCATTAATTTGTTGTGAAATCAGGTTTGAATTCTTTTGTCCATTCCTTCCGCTTTCATTTAGCACCTCTTCACTCTATCACCTTTCTCTTTGATTTTTATTATTCTCCTTCTTACCAAGACTACACTCCTTTAAATATAATTTCTGATCAAATTGACCATGCCCTCTTTCTATACTCCTCTGCCAATATTGTTATTATTGGTGACTTTAACCTCCTGGATTCAGACAGGAATGGATGCTTTTATTCCTTCTCGTCGGTTCCGAATCAAGTCTCATTCTACTCCATGGTTTTCACCCTCTTGTGCAGCTATATTTAATTGTAATGATTTTTTTCATACTTTTCAAAAAAACAACTACCTTGAGAACAGCTTTTTATTATTGCAAGAAATTGATGTAAAAAACTGTCTGATGCTAAGCTCCATTATTCTCAGTTCACTAAATCTCGCATCTTATCTCAGAAGTTAGGTTCAAGAGACTTTTGGAAAATTTTCATCAGCGTTGTTAACAGAGGAAGGTCTAACATTCATGGGACTGATCTTATTACCTCTCCTAAGGATAAGGCTGAACTACTTGCAAAGAACTTTTCTTTTAATTTGACTCTTAAATCTTATGGCCATTCTCTTCCTTCCCTTCTAATTAAACAGGTTAAACCATTGTAAGATATTCAAATCACTCCAGCTTCCGTTGCTAAAGTCTTATCTTAGTTAAACTCTTCTACGGCTTGTGGTCGAGACAACATTCCTGTCACAGTTTTACAATATTGTTCTCCAAAACTCTCTTCAATTTTCTCTAAATTATTTTATAAGTGCTTGACTAACTGACTGCCAGCTGGAAAATGGCATCTGTTGTTTCAATTTTCAAAAACTCTGGTGAACGTTCATAAATTAATTTCTTCTGTTATCTTTTTGACCCGTAAAAATTACTTTGTGCAAATGTTGACTCAGTATAAAATAACAGCTCTATATGATCTTGGCTAAATTAGGGTAAGACAAATATATCAAAAGTTAGTATAAAACTAGAAATAAACTATGTTATTACTATGGTGCTTCAAAAATGCCTGATATGATACCATACTGAATTCTCACACATGAGGACCTAGTTATATCCATATCAGCCTCTGTACACAAAGCTGATTTAGTACACAACAGCCTCTGTACACAAAGCTGTACAGCCTCTGTACACAAAGCTGATTTAGTTCTTCTTCTTCTTCTTCTTTGAACACAACTGCTTATTTATAAGGACCAGTAAAGTTTTCTCTACGTAGAGCAGTATCAACATTTTTCAAATCTTGATATTTGATTTTTGACAAAATTCAATAAGAATTTTGACTAATAAAACAAAAAAATCACCATAGTAAGGGACCATCCATAAACTACGTACGCAAGTATGGGGGTTTCCCAAAAGCATACAAGGGTGGGGGCGGAGTGTTAAAGACAGTAGGTACGTACGCGGTTTGATTATCTCTCCTAAACTACTAAAAGCACACTGGTTTTTATAATTTCTTTTAAGATGTCAAAATATGATGTAACAGTTTAAATAAGTATATTAAGTAACATTTTAAGTTTTAATTAAGTATA